CAGATTCAAGGCCAGCCTGGGCTGTACATTGATATCATATTTTGGAAAAGTAGGGGCTGATGTGGAGCCCAGTGGTAGAGCCTTTGCCTAGTATGTGCAAGGCTTTGGGTTTAGTTCCCAGCACTGAAAAAAATTATTATCATAGTCTTACTATTAATTTTACCTCAAAAGAAACACCCTTCTTTTTTTAAAATGTAGAAATAGGGCTGGTGGCATGGCTCGAGTGGTAGAGTGCCTGCCTAGTCAAATGCAAGGCCCTCAGTTCAAACTCCAGTACTGCAAAATAAAAAAAGTAGAAATAGGAGAAACAGTTTACTCAAGCTGTATACTATCAATACTACATTGTACTTGCAGTAGGAACACAAGTGAGTTTTTAACAATAAAAATGGCCAGGCACCGGTGGCTCACGTTTGTATTCCTAGTTACTTAGAATGGGCGGAGAGCAGGAGGATTGCAGTTCAAAGCCCAGCCCTTTCTAGGGAAATAGTTCAAGAGACCATATCTCAAAAAAATGCATCACAAAAAGGGCTGGGGGAGTGGCTCAAGTGGTGAGAGCAAGCATGAGAGCCTAGCAAGCATGAGGCCTTGAGTTCAAACTCCAGGGATGCCAGATAAATAAATAAATAAAAATTAAAATGATCTGAGCATTAAAAGACCGGAGCCAGGTTTGGTGATGCACCTTGTAATCCCAGATTCTCTGGAAGGTTTACTTCAATCCAGGAGTTCAAGGCCAGCCTAGACAACATAGGAAGACCCTGTCTCCAAAAATAAAAACGGGGAGGGGGTGGGCAGGGGGGAGAAATGACCCAAGCCTTGTATGCACATATGAATAATAAAAGAAAAAAAATTAAAACAAACTTGAATCTCACCTACACTTGCTTGTCATCAACAATGGAGAAAAACCTAATTTTTCATTTGGAAAAAAAAGTTAAAATTCTTGAACAAACTTTCATATACTTGTGCTGCTTTTCTCAGAAGGATTTAGGATTTACCTTTTCAACTGAGGGCACACAGAAAACACAGAGAGGTAGATGCTGGATGTAAAAGAGTGGAAAAAAATGAGTCAAGGTCAAGGAGGAAGGACATGATTGGGAGGCCCTGTGGTTCCTTTTACTGAGTCTCAGCTGCTGTTGCTTCTAGTTTTGCACCTGGCCTCCTGCCCAACTCCAAGTGCCTGCCCTTCACCTCCCTCTTCCATCCTGCCGTGGACACACACTGTAAGACTCCTAAGCTCCTCTGGTCTGTACTTACCCCCAGTGCAAGTGCCGAGGACATTCCAGCTAGTGAAGGGTAATTTCTTTGGCTTTCTAGTGGCCAGCACTGCCTCAGGGGAATTCCTCAAGCTTGGACATTCTTCTTGCCTGAATAAGAGATCAAAAACATTGCTTGCCACAAGAATGCACAATGTAAATAGTTTAATTATGTTTAATATTCCACACAGTAATGAAACTATATATAGGCTATACTTTATATTCTATTTTTAAAATATTACCACTTGTACTAGTAAAACATAGGCTTCACTCTCAGATAAACTTGACTTTGCTACTTGAAGATTATGGGAACTTCAGTTTCCTAAACTTTAATTTCTTGAGGCAGAGTGGGGCTAACAAGGACTGGAGGTGTGGCTCAAACAGTAGAGTACCTGCTTTGCACTCAAAAAGTCCTGAGTTCAAACCCCAGTTCCACCAAAAAAAAAAAAAAAGGCCAGGTGCCTGTGGCTTACACCTATAATCTTAGCTACTCAGGTGGCAGAGATCAGGAGGATTGTGGTTCAAAGCCAGCCTGGGCAAAATAGTTTGAGAGACCCTGTTTGAAAAAACCCATCACAAAACAGAGTGACTCAAGGTGTAGGCCCTGAGTTCAAACCCCAGTACTACAAAAAAAAAAAAAAAAGAGTGTGCTAACAATACCTAACTACAAATGGAAATGTTAAATGAGAAAATGTACTCCAAAGGATAATACAGGACCAGGCAGAAAGTTTTTAAATCTTTACTTACCAGACCTAGTTGAAAATGAATAGCTAAATGAGCACATAGTAAACATGGGTCTAATCCCTTGCTATCATAGGCAGTTGAGAACTTCTCCAAGAGGGAGAAAGAAAGCTCCCTGGTCTTTCCAGGCAGCGAAAAGGTGCCAGCCCTGCCACTGCCATTCACTTACGCATATTCTGGGTTTGGGGGTCCAGGTCAGTGCATGTCAAAGAAAAGAAAGAGACTAGAATTTAAGCACACAGACCCTGGGCTTTCCAGGTTGCCGCCATAGAGCCTGCACTGCTGAACTGAGAGCAACCTCAAGGTTGTTACATTGAACAACCATACTCCAAAAATTGGAGATCCAAAGCACTCCAAAATTCAAAGCTTTTTGAGATGATGCCACAATTGGAAAATTCCACACCTGACCTCATGTAATGGGTCAGAGTCAAAACACTGGGAAGGGGGTAAAGGGCACTGAGGCTGGGGCTATAGCTGAGTAGGATAGTGCTTCTTTAGGCCCTGGGTTAAATCCTGTAGCATAAATCAACAAGACGACTGCCAAAGGTGATCATTACGCTGTCATCAGTGAGGCTTATGGTACAGCCATTGTCTACCATTCTTGAGGCCCTGGATTCCATCCCCAGGACCACAAAAACAAACAAATAATAGCAACAACAACAACAAAAACTCACATGGGGTCGTAAACATACTGTATAAAATTTCCTTCAGGCTATGTGTATGAGGTGTATATGAAACATAATTGAATTTACTGTTTAGACTTGAGTCCATCCCTAAGATGTCCCATTGTGTTACAAAACTTGAATAGTTCTGGTGCCATGCACTTTAGATAAGGGATACTCAATCTGTACAAATCTTTACATATGAGTTACGGATGTTGCTATAGATGTTGCAAGAGGGGCAGTGACACCCCTGAGTACCTGGGGACTCATTGCTGGCATGGTGGTATATACCTTTAGCTCCTCAGGAGGCTGAGGCAGGAGGATCACTTTAGCCCAGGAGTTAAGAGGCCAGCCTGGAAGGGATAAAGTGAAGCTCAGTGGTAGAGTGTTTGCCTAGCACGAGCAAGGCCCTGGGTTTGATCCCCAATATCTCAAAAAAAATAAAGTAAATAAAGAAGCCCCCTGGGCAAGATTTCGCAACTTTGTCTCAAAAAAAAAAAAAAAAAATCAGGCACACACACACACTGTGTTGGATTCCCTATCATTCTTCCTGGCTTTATTTTTCTCTATAGCATATATCATCATCTGATATAGTATATATGTAATTATATGTAAATATTTATCTATTTACTATTTCCTTACATTACAGTATAAGCTCAATGAAGATAGATATATTATTTTGTTACTTGACTATTGATAACTGTACAATTAATATTTATTGAATGAATGAATGAATAATAAAACCTTTTTTTTTGGAGTACTGGGGTTTGAACTCAGGGCCTACACCTTGAGCCACTCCACCCTTTTTTATGAAGGGTTTTTCCAGATAGGGTCTCTCATGGATCTATTTGCCCAGCTGGCTTTGAACTTCGATCCTCCTGATCTCTGCCTCCTGAGTGACTAGGATTGCAGGTGTGAGCCAGCACTACTTTGTAACAGAAGATGTAAGAAAACACTTTAGTTAAAATAGTCATGTGGGGTGCACGAGAAACAGGTAGGACACCACCCTAGAAGGTGAAGGGCACAATGTAAATCTTGGAGGTCTGACCACAAACTT